ATTGTTTGCACTGACTGTTGATAGTATTGGCTGTACTTTTAAAAATATTATTTCATTCAGAAAAGCCAGTAGGCAGACAGGTTATGTTCAATTAGACACAGATCCAACGACCGTTGTGATGAACAGTGCATCACCCTTCAAAAGTACAGGGACAGCAAAGTCAGAACCGGTATTGGGCTTTTCAGTCAGACCATATGAATTTGTGACCATTAGCTAAATATAGGAATAAATTTAATAAGTAGATTTGTACATAGGTTTTATTTCTGATTAATTCCATACATGCAGTCAACTGCAAAATGAATGGCACCCTTGATAAAGATGAGGCTGTAAGAAAGGCTGCATAAAATATAATATGTGCAAAGTATAGTATATGAATCATGGGTTTCGTTAACTGAAAATTCTCCGTCATTTACTGAATTTACAAAGCATTGATGGATAATTCTGAATGCCAAAGTCATTTTGACGGATAAAAATAAGTTTTGGCTTTGTTAACTTTTTGAGAAAACTGATTTATATTCCTTTCCAGCTGGTGGCAACTGCAAAATGTCTTCTGGAGCCTAGGCCACAAATTTTAGCATGTCTACGTGCAATATCAGTAGGGTACACGCAAAGTTGTATCCTTGTGTAACATCTTAGTTCAATCAAAGATGAACCTGGCCCAAGGTACCACAATTATACCCAACCGAGTGACATCATGTCACACCAGCTTAGTGTCAGACGTTTCTTCAGCAGGCTCAACAGCAACGATGTTGATAAAAGTGGTGAAAAACGATCGATTGAAGCAGTCGAGGGCGAAGCAGAAGTGAGTAAAAAAAGTCAAGAGAACAGACGATGAGATAGCAGCAATGCAAGCATGGAATGCTAGCAAAGAAATAAAGAGTGGATATCGTACGCAGTAGGAGAGTAAACTCAGGAAGAAAGACAATCAAATGTACTGTGACATTTGCCAAAAAGCTAACGTAACCAATGGATTTGTCTGAGGGTGCACTACAATGCAAAAGTCTGCACTAAATGACAACAAAAACAGCCTCAGCCACAAAGAGGCTGTGCGGGTGGTTAATCAGAGCGTTACTATGGCCAAGCATGTGGAGAAGTCCCAAGCAGCATGTACACAGGCTTTACAAATGCAACTGAAAGTAGTTTTGTACATGTCAAACACTAACACTCCAAAACACCTTTACCCAGATCTAATAAAACTCTTACAATCTGCTGGGTGTCCAAACTTGAACGATGCACCTGTTTACCTACACCATGATACTGTTAATCAAATGGAGGAAGCGATAGCCAAAACTGTCACCGACTCACTTGATAACCACATCACCAAAAGTAAATATGTGGGGATAATTATAGGCAAAACAACAAATTTCACTGCTGTGAAAATGTTGATCATGTACATGATGCTTCAGAATGAAGGAAAATCTGAAATGGCTTACATAGGCAACTATGCAATACCCTCTGGTACTGCTGAGTGCATTACTGCTCAAATAAAAGCTTGCTAGCCGTGGTGTGGATCTAAGCAGAGTTATTGGACTCGGGAGTGACAGTGCAAGTGTAATGGTAGGACATAAGGCTGGAATAGCACAGCAATTATGTTGTGATTGCCCGTACTTCGTTAACATTCACTGTGGGGCACATCAAACAGCACTGGCTCCCCGAGACGCATCCAAATCTGTACATGAGATTGATGTACTGTATACTGTACGTCAGCACTGTCAATAACATTTATTCCTTCTACCACAACTCGACCACACGCACACACCGACTACATGAATAATATCAGTAAATATGAAAGCAAACATGACAGGTAAAAATACTGTAGATAGATTTTTCACAACCCAGTCTTCACAGTAACGGATTGTGATTAATTCTAGCGCAATCCCTGTATATGATACAGGGAAGACCACACCAGAAGAAGTCTCCACAACTGAAAC